ACAGCTATGTACCACGACAAACACTGGTGACACAAACACTCACAGCTATGTACCACGACAAACACTGGTGACACAAACACTCACAGCTATGTACCACGACAAACACTGGTGACACAAACACTCACAGCTATGTACCACGACAAACACTGGTGACACAAACACTCACAGCTATGTACCACGACAAACACTGGTGACACAAACACTCACAGCTATGTACCACGACAAACACTGGTGACACGAACACTCACAGCTATGTACCACGACAAACACTAGTGACACAAACACTCACAGCTATGTACCACAACAAACACTGGAGACACAAACACTCACAGCTATGTACCACGACAAACACTGGCGACACGAACACTCACAGCTATGTACCACGACAAACACTGGTGGCACAAACACTCACAGCTATGTACCACGACAAACACTGGTGACACAAACACTCTCACAGCTATGTACCACGACAACAAACACTGGGGACACAAACACTTACAGCTATGTACCACGACAAACACTAGTGACACAAATACTCACAGCTATGTACCACGACAAACACTGGTGGCACAAACACTCACAGTTATGTACCATGACAAACACTAGTGACACGAACACTCACAGCTTTGTACCACGACAAACACTGGTGGCACAAACACTCACAGCTATGTACCACGACAAACACTAGTGACACGAACACTCACAGCTTTGTACCACGACAAACACTGGTGGCACAAACACTCACAGCTATGTACCACGACCGACAAACACTAGTGACACGAACACTCATAGCTATGTACCACGACAGACACTAATGACACAAAAACTCACAGCTATGTACCACGACAAACACTTGTGACACAAACACTCACAGCTATGTACCACGACAAACACTGGCTGAACAAACACTCACAGCTATGTACCATGACAAACACTAGTTACACAAACACTCACAGCTATGTACCACGACAAACACTGGCGGCACAAACACTCACAGCTATGTACCATGATAAACACTAGTGACACAAACACTCAGAGCTATGTACCACGACAAACACTAGTGACACAAACTCTCACAGCTATGTACCACGACAAATACTAGGGACACAAACACTCACAGCTATGTACCACGACAAACACTGGCGACACAAACACTCACAGCTATGTACCACGACAAACACTAGTGACACAAACACTCACAGCTATGTACCACGACAAACACTAGTGACACAAACACTCACAGCTATGTACCACAACAAACACTTGAGACACAAACACTCACAGCTATGTACCACGACAAACACTGGCGACACGAACACTCACAGCTATGTACCACGACAAACACTGGTGGCACAAACACTCACAGCTATGTACCACGACAAACACTGGTGACACAAACACTCACAGCTATGTACCACGACAAACACTGGCGACACAAACACTTACAGCTATGTACCACGACAAACACTGGTGACACAAACACTCACAGCTATGTACCACGACAAACACTGGTGGCACAAACACTCACAGCTATGTACCACGACAAACACTGGCGACACAAACACTCACAGTTATGTACCACGACAAACACTAGCGACACGAACACTCACAGCTTTGTACCAGGACAAACACTGGCGGCACAAACACTCACAGCTATGTACCACGACAAACACTAGTGACACGAACACTCACAGCTTTGTACCACGACGGGCAAACACTGGCGACACAAACACTCACAGCTATGTACCACGACCGACAAACACTAGTGACACGAACACTCATAGCTATGTACCACGACAGACACTAGTGACACAAACACTCACAGCTATGTACCAGGACAAGCACAAGTGACACGAACACTCACAGCTATGTACCACGACCGACAAACACTGTTGGCCCAAACACTCACAGCTATGTACCACGACCGACAAACACTGGCTGAACAAACACTCACAGCTATGTACAACGACCGACAAACACTGGCTGCACAACACTCACAGCTGTGTACCACGACCGACAAACACTGACGGCACAAACACTCACAGCTTTGTACCACGACAGACAAACACTGACGGCACAAACACTCACAGCTATGTACCACGATAGACAAACACTGACGTCGGAAACACTCACAGCTATGTACTACGACCGACAAACACTGGCGGCTCAAACACTCACATCTTTGTACCACGATAGACAAACACTGACGGATCAAACACACACAGCTATGTACCACGACAGACAAACACTGACGGCACGAACACTCACAGCTTGTCGTTTATATACCACGACAGACAAAAACTGGCTGTACAAACACTCACAGCTATGTATCGCGACAGACAAAAACTGGCGGCACAAACACTCACAGCTACAATAATGTAGGCGACTGTAGACTGTAAAGCGTTGGCTTGTCACGCCGAAGACGCGGGTTCGAATCCCCATTTCTGGTGTTCCCCGCCGTGATGTTGCTGGAATATTGCCAAAATCGGCGTGAAACAAAAAACTCATTCAGTCAGTCTTACTCAATGGCGGGTTCGCTGTTATGGGTACGCAGAATTTTGCGAGGAGCCTTCCCTTGAAAGTAAGGAGACAGATTCTGATTATCTGCGTATGGTTACTTGTATTTATTGTTTCTATTGTAAGAAATACCGATAATGACCGTTCTCGTTCTGAGTGATTGTGCGTCAGTCCTGGCATCATGCTGCACAGAATCTTTGATAATTTGGTAATTTCACCTTACTAAAATATATTTTGATATGTTCGTCACGAGTGGCCTCCCTTTGCATGTTCACGCTAGTTTTATTAGAGTTAACTCCCTTTCACGTTTTCACTCACATTGGTTTCGCGCCCACATGACGTTTGTCAGTGTTTGCTAGCATGACGTTTGTCAGTAATTGATATTTTGTCACCAATCCCAACATCCCAGGAGTATTATTGGTTTTTCAGGTAAAGGGGAATCAGTTATGTGGCTTTCTTCGACTGCATGTTGGCACCTTTTCATGACACTTACTTGTTTGTTTAATTGATGTGCATATTAGAGTTCTATTTTCTTGACATGCATGCCTTTTTGTTGTTTTTAACGAGTTGACGTCCATATTGTTAAAGTATGAGTTTACTAAATCTTTGTATTGTACGTTTTCTTAATTTCCTATTTCAATCGACTTTGCTTTTGGCAGAGATTTCTTATGTATGTGGAAAGGGTTTGGTCGCTTCTATTTTGTAAACACTATCCAATATGGCTAAAAGTTCATATTGGCGTGGGTGTATTTTACAAAACTTCAAAATCTATTCTAGGTTTATCTTTGACGTTTCAGAATTATTTTAGTGATGTTATGATCAGTGATCAATGATATGCTATTTTTTAAATTCAGTACTCCGTGTAATTATCCGAATTTTACATTTAAATAACCCCAACTTATCACATAGCCAAAGAAAAAGTCATTATTCAGCAATTTTGCTTTGTCTAAAACGATAACGAATGATATCAGGAAACAGGAAATTTCCAGCAGGATTCAAAACCATGATGTGCATTTGTGCGCGTGACACATTTTGAATTTTCTTAGACTTTTAAGTGAATGGTAATCTATTGGGTAACATTTGTTTTTCATTATATGAGAGACAAAAACTTTTCCACATCCAGAAGAACTATCAGGATCAATTGTACAATTGTGATTATATCACGAGTATATATTTGTTTCAGCAGTATTACAGCTTTACCATTTTGTTTATTAACAATCGACCATATGCTGCAGTGGTTGACACTACGAGATATGATGACGGAGCATGTCAACGGATCAGTATCAAATAGTGATAATACCTGGTGTTCAAAGGTGTCCAGGTGTCTATCCTGCCCCACTGGTGCAGTTCATTATACGTCTGACGTACGTACAATGTAAGTAGAGTTACTTACCCTCTTGGACATATATAGAGAGATTATTACATGACCATAATTTTGCACGAGTTGCGTATTTATAAACCGTATGACACACTTGCTCGAGTGTACTGATTTCTTTATTATCCATTTTATTCATGAACATTTGTGCAGTAAATAGAGAATACTAAACGATGTCCTGTTTAATACCATATTTAGGAAACAAGTGAATGGTTTGGTATCTAACGAGCGAAATACAATTCACGAGTTTCATAAATATGACATTACAAGGGGACATATTTTAGCATTTTATTTCTTACTCAGCCAACATTAGCAAAATAATATCGAGCAAAGTAATTCCTTCCTAAGCATTCAACGAGTGTGATGACTCTCAGCTTTCCGCGAGTCAAGTAAGGTCTAATACTATTGTGACAGAGGTATTGGCATGGTGACGTTACAACTGAAAACCACTTTGACGTCATACGTACGGCATCACGCGATGTTATTACACAATGTGTAATAACATTGTAAAATGATTAAACAGTGATTTCAACGGGCGATTAATAAAGAACGGTAATTGGGATACGATGACCGAAAAGAGTCAGCGAGCCTGACCACCCGATCTAGCTAAGATACATGTCAGTGAACGCTATGTTCCTTAGCTACACCCGATCCCGTTAGTCGCCTTTTACGACAAGCACGGGATGCAATATTCCAGCAATATCACGGAGGGGGACACCAGAAATGGGCTTCACGCATTGTACTCTTTCGGGGAATCGAACCCGGGTTTGGGGCGTTTTGAGAGAAAGAGATGTGGGCAAAATGAGAAATGACAAGAAATCTGACGAATAGGTGTTAACAATGTTTTCCTTACCAAAAGATTAGCGATACAAGACAGGTGAGGTGATATGATCATTGACGGCGAAAGTACCTACGTGTATGAAATTAAAGTAACGTCCAACCAACTGTTGACATGGTTCGATATTAACTTTCTTGATCTCTGTACTTTGTACATGTAGAATGTGTGACTCAATACATATCAACAGTTAAATACCGTTGATAATATGACTTGTGTGGACATATCAATTTTACAGTGTTAAAAAGTATGATGAAAAACGTAACAAAGTTCTTTTAGATTTTACAGTTTATTATGAAACTACAACTACAAAACTTTTTCAAAATGAGTTGTTTTCCTTAAAATGAAGGATAGTGAGTGATGTAGGTTCTTCCTAAAATACAAAAGTATTTTGCGACACGACAATTGTTTAAAAAATACATACACACAAATGTTCATATATTTTACCTCAGATTTACAATTCAAGATGTGCAAATCAGCGGCAGAACAGTATTCACGCTTGCATGACGGTCCAAACGTAAACACAATCTGGATTTGGTGTTGCTTGGGTCATGGCAAGTGCATCATCCCAATACGTCCAAATACGTAAACATCATGCAACGGTGTTTTGGTAACGCATTTTCTGCTGGATGTAATAGTCTGAATCTGGAATTGGTTCTCGTTGCTAGTGGAAAAGTGTAGCTACAAAGTACAGATGGAACAGATAGATGCTGTTATCATCCACAAGAAACAAAACAAAAACAAAACAAACAAACCAATAAACAGAACAAACAACCCCCAAAACGCCCAAATAGATTGTGATGTGCTTGTAAGACAGGAGAAGTACTATCATGAATTCTTAGCTATAAAGCACAAAGAAAGTTGCTTGGTTTCCTATTTCAAGACGAATCCAGGCACAGTACTGTCCAAATCTAAATCAGGTTTGATTTTTTCTCTGTGTATCATTTTCATCCAAATACGTAAACATAATATAACGGTATTTTAAAACACATTTTCTGCTGGATGTAATAGTCTGAATCTGGTAGAACTGGTTCTTGTTGCTAGTAGAAAGGGTTTGTCATTATCCACACTCTGAAAAGAAGGAAAGGAATAGTTATTCTTTTGCCACATGATGTAGTGGGATGCCATTCAGGGTTTGTACGAGGTTAGATTACTTACAGTGGTGAGTTATTATGCTTCATTTACCAAATTTGATTGGTACATTTTTAATATGTTTGGGGTTGCCAATAAAAAACGAAATATTCATCTTCAAAGAATCATCACTGTTCAAACCATGCCATGGCGAGGAAACGATATTTGTCATCAAATAGAGTGGTCCGACATCACCATTCTTGCCAACAACCAAACGAACTGCACTAAACGCAAGCTCACAGAAGCCATTCACATCAAACGCCACAAGCCCACCATCAACCGTGACCAAGGATACTTCATTCCATCAGCTTATGATCAACTCCCCCACCAAGCCCAATCTATTGTATAAACATCTCATTGTAACTACATCTCTGGCTTCCATTCACTATCCTTTGTGTACTCACTGGCTTCATCAGCTTACTGCTTAGCCAATCATGGCAGTTATGTTGTTTCCTTTGTCTATTATGTTGTTTCATTGTTATATGCAGTATATATATGCAGCTCCTACACTTCATGTATCACTCTTGCTTGACAACGGTACAAGAATCTGTATCGAAACGTCGTACTCACGAAATAAAGAAGTTGTTATCCATAAAAACTTGTTCTATATTGATATTTGTCCTCATGATGTGAATCCAGTTCGCGTTTCCGGAAGCGATGAGCAAACAACTTAACCACGAAGCTACACCACCCGATGCAATTATAGTGTCACTATAAGGTTAACTCACCAGCGCAGCCATTAAAACAGCCCATGTTCCAGGTGCACCTTTTTTATTCTACAGAGGACAATTATCACTGCAATCAGGATCACAGCAATGATTGCCACTATAATTCCAACAGCAGCCCTGAAAGAAACAAAATACAAAATATAACACGTGTCATGGTAACCATAAACAAAAGAATAGCGACTCAATGGGACTCGACTCAAAAAGAACTAGAACTTGTACTGAACTAAGAAAGTGTAATCCCAAACATATGTTACATTTGACCACTTTCTAAATGGCATAGTGTAATTATAGCTGTAGTCTAGACTGCCAGTTGTCCGACTTCAATTTTTGTGGAAGTCGCAGTGGCTGAGCAGGTTAGGCGGCTGACTTTGTGTGCTGGCGATGAGGTGCCTGGTTTGGGTTGGAATCCCGGATGGGACTCAACTCAAAGAGTACTAGTATTTGTACTTTACTAAGATAGTGTTATCCCAAATATAGCATATGTTATATCTAAGGACCGCCGTCATATAACTGGAACAAACTTAAACAAAAGAACACGCTGAAATCACCATCGGAAGTTTTTCTCCATTTAGATGTATCGCTAAGACCCCTCAAAGACCCTAGTGAAAAGTGGCCTTCCTGAACCCATACTTTTCAAAACAGACCAACGTGACCGGGTTGCTATGGTCACTGACTTTCATGATCGATGTTGTCATCGTGTCCCAAGTACAGAGATCGATGCTCAGTAATCAATACTGTTTGTTCCAGACTCGACTATAGAGAGACCGATGTTACATTGCTGCAAGGTGACTCATGGACGCCCAAACATACCCGTTGCTCAATCTGCATTCGGCATTAGTTTTTCCATCCACGTGGCCAAACATGCAGTAATCCTCCCCTGCACAATAAAACAAAAGAAGAAAAATACACAAGTACACGTGTGTTTGGCATTGTTCCTGTCAGTTTCTTAGAAGAAATAGCGATCAGGACCTCTTGACTTATTCGACACTTCTGTTGTTTTTTTATTATGGTGGGGTAGCCTAGTAGTTAAAGCGTTCGCTCGTCAGCCCGGGTTCGATTCCCTACATGGGTACAATTTGCGAAGCCCATATCTGATGTCCCCCACCGTGATAATGTTGGTGGGTAGCCATGTGGTTAAAGCGTTCACTTGGCACGCCGTAGACCAGGGTTCGATTACCCTCATGAGTACAGTGTATGAATTAAACCCCCACCGTGATATTTGCTGGAAGGTTGTTAATAGTGACGTTAAGCCACACCCGCTCAATATTTACCACAAAAAACATGATTGTACGTCAGAATGTTTCTTATGGGAAAGGATTGGACTGCTCCTTCAATAAAAACACCTTTCTAGTCGTAAATGTATTTCGTTTTGTAATCATAGCCGTTGAGAATGGAAAAGATTGTATACTTTTCGATGACCAGTTTCGTCCACGCCATGTGTCCAGGTGTCCGATGTGTCAACCCTCACATTGCCCCAGGTAACACATCAATCCAACACATTACCCTAACAAATGTCATACATTCAACCAAACTACTGCCACACATTCATCCCACACACTGCCAGACACACAGGCCACACATTCAGGCCACACATTGCCACACATTCAGGCCACAAATTGAGATCATACATTGCCACATATTCAGGTCACACATACAGGTAAAACATTGCCACACATTCAGGCCACACATTGTCACATATTCAAGGCCACACACTGTCAGACATTCATGTCACACATTCAGGCCACACATTGTTACACATTCAGGTCATACATTCAGGCCACACATTGCTACATATTTAGGTCACACATTCAGGCCACACATTCAGGCTACACATTCAGTTCACACATTGCCTCATATTCAGGTTACACATTCAGGTCACACATTGCCACACATTCAGGTCACACATGGCCACACATTCAGGTCGCACGTTGCCGCACATTCAGGTCATACATTGCCACACATTCAGATCATATATTGCCACACATTCAGGTCACACTTTGTCACACATTCAGGTCATACTTTGTCACACATTCAGGTCACACATTGTCAGACATTCAGGTCATACTTTGTCACACATTCAGGTCATACTTTGTCGCACATTTAGGTCATACATTGCCACACATTCAGATCATATATTGCCACACATTCAGGTCACACTTTGTCACACATTCAGGTCATACTTTGTCACACATTCAGGTCACACTTTGTCACACATTCAGGTCACAAATTGTCACACATTCAGGTCATACTTTGTCACACATTCAGGTCATACTTTGTCACACATTCAGGTCACAAATTGTCAGACATTTACCACACATTGCCACACATGAACATATTCAGGCTGCACGTTGTCACAGTTTACCAAATACATGTACTCAACAAAAGATTTAGTATTCCCACATATTGCCATTCATTCAATCACATATTCTGTGTCTTGGGATATAAATATCCCGCATTCCCACGATTAAATCAACATATTATCATACAACACCACAGATTCAAGCACATATACTACTCATTCAGCTCACATATTGCCATGTATTCAGCCAACAAATTGTAACAGTCCACACATTGACATACATTTTCTGACATTTAGCCCACACTTTCAGCTCACATATTGCCCTACCTATTGCCACACACGTCGTTATACATTTCAGCCCGTACATTATACTACTGACTGTCACACCTTCAGCCCACCTATTGCCCCATATTCATCACATTCATTACCCTTTCTGTTGCCCCATTTTCAGACCCACATGATGCCACACATTCAACCCACACATTATCATGCCCATTGACACATATGCAGTCCAAACATTGACACACCTTCAGCCAACACATTATGCTACTTATTACCACACATTCAGCCCAAAGATTGCCACACATTCTCTCACATTTAGTCAACCCACACATGGCAACATGCAACCTATTTATCGATAACGTTATTAACTCCGCTGTAGTAACGTAATATGAAACATATGAACATGCACATAATCAATACATTGGTTATATCATGAACGCAGAACTATAATGAACACAACTAAACCTGTAAGATGACAAGAAAGCTGAGAATACAGCCTATGGACGTCCATGCGACTTTTGGAACCTAGCAGCATCTTCTGTAGTGAAGAACCTGAACTTACCCATGACAGACGGTATCCCCAGAAGGAAAGCAAAGAGCATCCCTGTACATTCCTTACTCTCCATTTGATAGCAAGTTCGAGTATTTAGTAAGAATTATAAACACACAGTGGCAAACACTTTGTCCGACTAAAATGGCACCGTACCGGATATGACGTAAATCTTAATTTTAACAGTACTTTCCTAGTTTCATTTTTGTCCCGATTTCCTTGATACAATTCTTTCTTTCGTTTCACTTGCAGTCACAGTTTGAGTGTTAAGACAATTAAAGAAACATCTCCAGGTTACGTTTACCTCAAGATGACTGAAATGTAGAAGTATATCGGGTTTTAGATACACAGGTCACAGACTGAGGTACATGGGGTTTACGTGTTTCAAGCAGGTTAACCCTTAATTGCCGTGACGGTGCGACCTGGGACGATCTTCGGCAACCCATGCTTAGAAGATAAAAGTACTCTATTTTCAATTTTGCGCTCCTTTATCGTTGATATAAGACCGCTAAATGTAATTTTAAAACCGAACCCAAAATTGAAAACAGAGTAGCTTTATTTCCATCCTTGCACGACCGACAAGCGTTTTAAAACCGGACTCTTTAGCGCGCAAGAACACAAGTCGTGAAGGGGCCTTTTTCCTGGAAAGCGCTTGGAATCGTCCAGTTGAGGGACAGATTGTGTAAGGAACAAAATAAGACATTTTCAGCAACATAGATGCTTTATTTCAGGAACCAATGTGATTTTATTTGTAAGAAATAGCATTAAAAGATAACATAAATAATACAGTTTATACTGTGAGCAAGTACAATTATTTGATTTTTCTCAAGGGAATCATTAATCTCCCCTATTGTATGACAATCGACTCGCCCCAATTCAAGCCGTGAACTCGCTAAGTACAGTCGCAGCTATCTTTATTCCACGGCCGTAAGTAGCCCATCTTTTTACAGACAATTTTTTGGTACATCAAAGTATTGATATAACACTCTTTTGAGTGTCATATTCCTTCACCGCAGCCCTGAAATCCACACCTCAATTAATGACGCAGAGATTGCGGGCAGTCAATCTGACAGATGATCGGTAACAGAATGATACACCTAATTACACATGATTACAACAACTATTAATAAATAAAATGAGGAATCCAGGGCAATGATATAGCAATATCCCTAATCCCATAAAACCTTTAAGGCATGAATAGCCTAATAAACTTTACCTACCTAGTTGAACAACTGTAGGCCACGTGGGCTGACACTTGACATAGACTACCCGGAACCCTTTAAACTGAAGGCATATTGTGTAATACCTAATGATAATTAAGGAACAAAAGACTTAATTAAAAAAAAAAGGATTGTGTTCAGACTCCAAAAAAGACAGGATTGTCAAAATAAAGGATAACAAACAAAACAAAGACTACATAATACACAAACAAACATTGATTGGTGAAACAATAAATAAATAGTATTACATAAACTGTCGACTTTGTTATATTTTTGGAACTATGAACCGATGCTATATCATGAATCATTCCCTCACCCCCATGATCATGTGGTAACTTGATCTAAAAAGTCTTGGAACTTACAACATGGTCATCAGTGCAGCGAGCTAAATGCGGCGCCACCTGGGGACAGGACATCAGTGGTACTTTTGCATCAGCTTGCATATTACTGGCTCTACTGATTACCAGCATATCAAATACAGCTATAAGTGCATAATGGAGTCAAAATCATTTCTGATATTCCCTTGGAACTGAATGTGCTAATTTCATGGTTTATCATTAATAAAGCAATGTTTCTGACGGACTTTTCTGGGTAAGTTGCAATGAGTAAACTGAGTGAGTGAGTAACATTGAACAACCCCAAAGATATCATGTATATGCTGTAAATTTCAAGTGCAATTTCTGGACTGTCAACTGAATTTAATAATAGAACTATTGTATATTAATACTGAACAAAACATTTATTTTGCATGTATACAGGTATGTCTATACATATTTATAAAGTTTAGTTCAGAACAGTCTGTACAGTTGTTATAATTTTGAACAAATTAATTTGTTTGAGAAACGTGAAAAAAATTGGTCAAACGTGGCAGGAAAAGAGGAACTTCTTTACAGAATTGGAGATCGCATAAACAGAACCATTCTAACTTCAGAAAGCAGGAGTTGCATCCGAGAGCATCTAATTTAAACAAATTCCAGGGAGAGCGTGGGGAGCGATCTGTAGGCTACCCCAGTGCCCCTACGGTTATTGACTCGCCAGTATGGCTGTACGCACAAACCTTAAAAGGTCAATATATACAACTACGGTGTGTGAATTGGCTAGCTTTGTCAAATCAAGATATGCATTGTCAACCAACCAGCATTTAACTAAATGTTTGACTTTCATCCACTGTTGATATGTTTGTATGGCATTAACATGTGTTAAGGTCTTAAAGAATGAACCTTCACAAGAGCTTCGATATCTTCGCATGTTCTCAACACAAACACCGGTTGTCTCCCAAAGCCCCTACATCCCATGACCCAAACATCCCATAACCCCTACAATCAGTTACAACAACAGCATTTACCTGTCTGTCATAATGAACTGACCAGAAGGAGAGATTACAGGGTGGAGTATACAGTGTGAGATTAAGCTGCGCAGATGTATACAGTTGAGAAGAGAATAAGATTATGCTGTTGTTACGAGGGTTTTAATTTATTTTAAATAACTGAGATGAATTAAATGTTGAACTAGTTTTTTTAGCTTCCTGACGTACATAAATAATCTGAGATGATTTGAGGTGGTATATGCGAAGGGCGTTCAAAAAGCAGTCATATTCGCAATGTCCAATGCTTGAAAAGCTTCCATTTCATTTTGAAGAAATCTCATCAAATCTCCCAAAACTATACACTAGAAAATGTTACACCCCAGGAAGTATCATTTCACCCACTCTCCTCAATGTTATGGTTGATGATATCTTCAGCAACCACAGTAAAACGTAACAAATCCCAATTTGCCCACGATAGAGCAATATGGGTTTATAAAAAAAATATACACAAAGCACAAAAACAAATTCAAGCTGCACTTAACCATATTGAAAACTGGACCAACCAACGGGGCTCTAACTCTCTACCACTAAACAACAACTGTAGTATTCAAAGCACAATATCGAAGAAAACAAAACGTACATCTTTATATTAGCAAACAAAATTACCGCAATCAAGTACAGTTAAATTTCTAGGTCTAATCGTAGACCAGCACTTATCATGGAACAAACATTCAATCCATACAAGAAAAATGCAAGTTAGATCTCAACATTATTAAATACCTATCACATAGTAAATGGGGTAGCAACAAACAAACATTACTACTACTATATAACTCTCTCATCAAATTAAAATTACTCTGTGGCTGCGAAATATTTTAAGATATGGCCCAAACACATAAAAACAATCTTAGTTCCATCCAATTCCAAGCACTTAAATGTATACCTGGAGCATTCCCAGGAACATCGCTCCAAGCATTATTGGTAGAATGCGGGGAACTGGACTTCACTCTCAAATGGGAAAGATGTACAATGAAATACGTAACTCGATCCCTTAACAACTTATATCCCTTATATACTACAGAATATATTACAAACCCTTTTTACAAATCCCTTCCTCCAGCAATACTGCCAAAGATTCTGGCAAATACAAAACTTACTGAACACAATATTCTTAATAACTTCACAGTGCAAGAATTCATACAACAATATTACAATCCACTGGATAATCTTCACATTTATACTGACGGATCCAAGGACCAAAATGGTAATACTGGTTTTGGTATCTACATCCCCCCAAGCCTTAAACAATCCTGTAATCTCCCAACAAACTCCAGTAGCTTCACAGCAGAACTCGCAGCCATAGTTCAGGCCTTGCAAACAACATCTGACCAAACAAACACTACCATCAGCATTTTTATGGATTCCTTTAGCTCCATACAAGCTCTCAAAAACTACTCTACAAGATAAAAGTCCAGATCTAATAAATAACATATACAGAAGAATACTATACCACCAAATAGAAATAATCAAATACATTTCATCTGGACTCCACTCAAAAAAACAAATAAAAATACCTTACTCCAAAATAGACCAAACAAATAAAGTTAGCAATATTATAATAAATAAATTAAATTATAACTGGCAAATAATTGGAAAACATTATCCACTCTACCAAATCCAACAAACACTTATTACAAAATGTAACAATTATCACCAAACAACGTCGAATTCATGTTGCATAACCAGACTTAGACTAGCAAATTGCAATCTTTATCACTATCTATACAAATCAGCCTTCATCCAAACGGCAAATGTATCACTTGCCAAATTCCTGAAACAATAGCCCACACTATGTTTTACTGCTCAAAATATAATAAACAAAGAACCCCATTTACCAATGCTTTAAAACGGTGCCTCAACAATGCTAACTTGGTTAACAAAACAAAAAAAACAAGAACAATAACCATTAATTACACTACACCTCTATTAAATTCCAAATCTCTATTACTATTTACCTATTTCATATTTTTTACCTTTATATTTCGGCCTCCCATTCAAATTTCCCTTAATGCTCAGTTGTTTTGTGTGTGTTTTTGCTGTTGTTGTAGTAACACCACTCTTTCAAAATTTCTGTTTTTTGTTCACCCTCATTTCTCAGTAAGTGTACTATTCCGTCGCCGAAGTATCTTAGTTGTGCGTGCGACGTTTAATAAAGCAAAATAACAACAACCGTCATTTCTTTTCAGTTACCATTGATACATTTCGCGCTCCGTAAATGACTCATTGAGCTTTAATGTGTGTGTTTAATCAACCTAAATGTGAGAACAGGAGTGCCAGCATTCGTCTTCAGTTCGTTTCGTATACAGCGTTATAGTGAGTGAGTGAGATAATACTTAACGTCATATCGGCAATATTACAGCCATATCGTGACGAGATCAATTTAATATATATCAACATTAAAATCAATAAACTGAGAACATTAAAAAATCTGTCATCGAAGGACAGTATAAATACTAGAGTATCACAGCTCTTAATCTAAAACTAGTAGTTGGCTACCTGCATGGACCCTAGCTGGATTTATATCAACCCTTCAGCTGCTGGCGATTTTGGTCAAATTTAACCAAACTTAAAATGACAAACATGCTACATT